GGATTGCCCACAGTATTGAGTATGTAAGTCGCTTTGGATAAAAGCATCTAACTAGTAACTATGTAATATCCAGACTCAAAGAGGAATCCCTGCATTGTGTTACAGAACCAGAGCAGGCCCATCGTTAATAATCTGAATGTTGTGGCCATCCATGAACTCAGTCAGAACTGTGTTACTCACAAACACTACAAATCCTGCATCAAAGTGAAGCAATGCTGTGATATCTAAGTGAATGTGATTTTAATATGATCTCTGCTTGATCTGAGCTTCCTCTCTGCATGCCAGACTCAAGTGTCACATCATTTTCAACACATACTCTCTCGCTCTCACATGCACAGATTGATCCACTTTGTTGCTTTGGTTTTTTCACCCTCACATCTTATTGTTACTATGCAAGGACAAGTACTCGAAGTGGTTACCTGTTATAAATACATAGGTATCTGGCTTGAATATTGTCTTACTTTTAAACTTCAGGTCATTAATCTGCTTAAAAAGCTGAGGGTTAGACTAGGCTTCTTTTTTAGAAACAAGTCCTGTTTCTAATTTGAAGCCAGGAAAAGGCTAGTCACTATGACCTTTTGACCTGTGCTGGACTATGGTGATTTGATCTATATGAATGCACCTGCCCATTGTCTAGAAAAGTTAGATGCCGCCTATCACAGTGCTCTGAGATTTGTTACTAACTGTAAAGCACTTACTCATCACTGTACCCTGTATGCCAGGGCAGGTCTGCCTTCACTAACTGTACGGAGACTCAGTCATTGGTACATGTTCATTTACAAAGCCATGTTGGGTAAACTACCTTTTTATATCTGCTCTCTGATCTGTCGACGAATTGAAAGTACTTATTGCCTGAGATCTCATGATGTTGTTTTATTAAATGTGCCAAGTGCTAGGACTGTCTTAGGGAAGAAAGCTTTTAGTTGTGCAGCTCCACTAAATTGGAACAGTCTGCAAACATGTTTAAAACTGAGCACTTTGGTTCCCCTGCATCATTTTAAAACTCGGCTGGGTGACATGCTGTTTGATACTCATGGTACCTGTCACTGTAAATAGAGTTTGTAAACTGTACCCTGTACATTATATTGTATGTCATCCTTATTGTTGTTCTGTTGTTTGTATGTTACATGTGTAACTAATGTCCGGCAGGTCACCCTTGAAAAAGACATCTTTTGATCTCAAGGGGCTTTCACCTGGTTAAATAAAGGCTACAAACATCTAAAGTGTGCAAAGTCTTGATGGACTCCCCTTGAAAGTTCCTTCTTTTAAGCATATGTAATGTTGTCTTCTTACTAAGAGGCTCTAGATTACTTTTTTGCTGATTGATGGGAAACAGCATGTAACATTTAGAATAGGTTTTGGGAGAAAAAAATTGAAATATGGCTTTAACTGATTCTAAACCAATCATATCACATACTTAAATATTTTGTAATCCATCTCACATTGACTGATTTACTTTTTATTTTGTCCTTCGCTTTTAAATAGATGTTTTATTGATAACAGCAAAGCCCATAAAGGTTATATAAACATTATATGCTGTTTTTCACAATTAAATAAATGAGTAAATTGATTACAGCAAAGCCCAAAACGTTACAGACGTTAGCCACAACTTGTGAATACTGGGTTATATATGCATTCCCTATAGATCTCTTTAGGGTACATTAAAACGTACATGTTATATAACAGATTCTGACTTAGCTGGTCATTAGCTTTGGACTGTAACTATTCTCAGAACACACTTTAAGTTCTACACAGAACAACACAAATCTAATTATCATTCCATTATGGTATCAAACACATTATAAACTTTTGCTAAAAACTTGGGGAACGTTGGTGTTTGCAGGCGTGGCTAAGACAGTTCTGCTCGTCTGAGTGATTGATAGCAGCTGGTCGCATCCATTCAGCTGTACTATATTACACACTTTAAGTGAGAATTGCCGGCCTCTTCTCATTCCTTTTGTTCCCTAAAAATTATATTCATTAGTAGAAAGCTATGCGGATTGTGCATCTGTGTTTAGACTCATTCATATTCCAGATGTCATATTAGTATTTGCCATATTTTAGAATAATACATCATAATACTTAATGCATGTTCTAACTGAAACCAAGCAGAAAGGGGAGGAGGACAGTGATGCATGCGTATGTACCTCTCCATGCACCTCTTTGTGATTTTGCTAAATGTGCTTGTGTATTTTCAGGACGGATATCTAGTCTTTCCACACTCTGAGGCCACTGGCAATTAGATGTTAAGTGGTCTCAGCATTATCTGAGCCTTAGCAGACAGTTTTGAGTCAGCTCAATCAATCCCCATCCATCCATTGCAGAAAAAGCACCACCTCCAGTTTATTGGAGAAGGGCCCCTAGGAGGAGAGTTCACCAACGTGGCAAAAAACTACCCTTGGTCACTGAGCACTGAGTTTGAGCCAAGATAATGGTCCTTTCAGGGACGTATCTGCAAGTGGAAACCCCAATGGAGTCTGTGGTGACAAAACTGCAAACTCTCAAAGTGTTCAGTGAAATTGTAGCCCATCAGGAACATGATGAAGGATTTGAGAGCGGTGGTAGTGTAGTATTTTATGGAATATCAGAAATTGCTAGAGATGTCCCGATCCGATCACGTGATCGGGGATCGGAGCCGATCACGTGATTTTCCAAAGATCGGAATCGGGAGAAAAAAATCGGGGATCGGGATTTTTTTTTAATTAATCTTTTTAAATATATATTTTTTTTATTCAATGTTACAAAACAAAAATGACCATGTTCAAGTCTTAAAGTCATCCTGAGGCCTTAGTTTTGGTTTCAAATGACACAACATCATGTATGTGTTGCTTCTTTGGGGCTTTTTTTCATAGACTTGGTTTGGAGTGGGCAGGGCGCAGTGTCTAATTGTAGCAGTAAGCTAACGAGTACTCATAAGCTTTATTTTGTTTTGATGCTGCACAACTGAACTGATCCAATGCTGCTGTGAAAAAAAGAAGCTATATCCATGTTGGATAGAATATCCAAATTAAATAAAAAAATAACCTTAAGGGACAACTTGAACGCTTTTTTTCTTTTTTTTCTCTTAATGCATTGCATAAAGATCGGATCGGGAAAAATCGGTATCGGCAAATTGTCAAAATAAAATGATCGGAATCGGATCGGGAGCAAAAAAAGGTGATCGGGACATCCCTAGAAATTGCCGACGCTGTTTTGCACACAGGGCAATGTTGTTGGCAAGCCAGGAAATGTTGGTTGCTGGCTGCAATTATATATAATATTCTTTTTGCATTAATTAGTTCCTTGTGGGAGGGAAACTAATTAGCTCATCGTTTAGAGGGGAAGAAAAAAAAGTGTGGCCCCAGTGGGACGCTCAGCACGTTAAAATCAATAGAGATTTGTGCAACAGCTCATCAAATGGCAAAGCAGGGGGCCACATGCTGATAAAGGCTTGCTGTGGATGACAGTAATGGATGGACGGATTTATAGATGGATGACCACAAGTAGCAAGACTGAGGAATATTTAACTAATACTATGTACGGTCACCCTTACTAAAAACTAAACAAGAAAATATGAAGAAGTACAGACCATCAGGCAAAAGCGTCACGCTAGCCGATGTGCTAAATCTGTCTGGGTGCGAAAAGTGGTGGGGGGGGGAAGCCCCTTCTTCTACTGTCAATGCCTTTGCGTGGACCAAGTCTATCTATCTTTGCTCAGCCTTCATTTTTAATCTCGACTTTCAAAGTTTGTAATGCCAAATCTTGTTCCTGGTGTGTAAAGGGGGGTAGCCATTGAGTTGAGAATAAAAAACGTTTTAAAATGTATGACATTTTATGCATAAATAGAGGAAGTGCCATTTTGTGTGACTTTGACACTTTTCTTCCAGCAGAGAGCAAAGCAGTTCAGTGTTGCCAGCTAAATCTTTACAGCACACACTAACATAAGGGAAATGTAATATATGTAATGGCCTGCTTTAATGAAATGGCAAGACACTCACCAGTCTGATGGGAAAACCTGTTAACTCTCAGTAGAGATAGGAGCAGGGCAGCAAGCCATCTGAGCAGACAATGTTGCTGAGTGGATGTAAAATTGTGCTCAATATATGACCTCAAATATTTTCATACCGCCAAAGCTGATGGAATAGCAGAAGTATACATTTTCAATAACACAATCACTTCATGTAGTATTAAAAATAATAGCCAGGGTAGCCTGAATGCTAATGTAATCACAACAGAGATTATGTTTTCTGTGTCAACCTTATTTGCTGTAGAAAAAAATGAGCAACAAAACAAGGATTACATTATAATGATGATTGTGTCCTGAATATATTTAAAAAAACAAGTATTAGATTTAATTTAACTGTTACAAACAGTTTGGTAAGCAATTGATATTTTGTAGCTCAGTTTTGTTCTTCTTTTCTATATATTTGCCATTATTAATATTCATTTGTCAGCTATGTTACTGGTATTAAATGTGGGCTTTCTTCTTCTTTGAATAAATAATAAAACTAAACTAAAACATGCCCGAACACTATAAACAAATATTGTAATGTTTAAAAAGGAAAGGGGGAAAAAGACATCCTGTGAAATTGCATGTCCTTCTACTGTATGCTGTCAAAAATATGTTTAAACAGGAACACTGTAACCTTTCTCCCAGCCTCTTGTGTACAATGTATTTAAATAGATGTGTTACCTTATTAGCCTTAAAGACAGGATAATAAGAATTGACTCAGGCATTAGCAAACAAAGTGGCTCCCACCTGTATTATGAAAGAGTGTGACAAATCTATGTAAGTAAACAAGTATATGTCTTTCATTATTTCCCATTATTTTTGTGAGCAGTGTTATATTCATTTCCTTTTTAGAATTCTTCTCCCACTCCTATTGCATATACCTCTTTTCATTCAACCCCTCCTGGTATGCATCCTCATTTTGTAATCTCCTTTGTCTCCAACCGTCCTTGTCCTGGCGTCCCTCTGGACTTGTCACCTTTCACTCCTGACAGTCTGCTTTCCTCTGCAGGTATTCCTTCCAGGATGAGGAGGACATGTTTATGGTGGTGGACTTGCTCTTGGGAGGAGACCTGCGCTATCACCTCCAGCAGAACGTCCATTTCTCAGAGAGCACCGTCAAACTCTACATCTGTGAGCTGGCCCTGGCCCTGGGTTACCTCCGTACGAAGCGCATCATACACAGGTTAGATACTCAGTCTGTACAAAAAACATGAGAGGTATAGGCTTTTTACTGGTTGCCCGTAATATCTCTTTCTTATATAAATCATGTCCCACTTCTGCCTCTCTCCGTTGTTTTTCACCACCAAGTCTAAGTATTATCTTTCCCGGTGTACGTTTCTCCTTGGCTGTCCACTTCAATATTATTTTCTGAGATGACTGCTCCACCATTGAGCAGAAAGGTCTAGCAGTGTCGACATGAAGGTCACACCTGACACAACAGTTTACTATGAACTGCAGACTATGGCCATCATGAAATGCACTATTTATGTCCTGCTGCTTCGTCAATGCCTTATTTAATTTGTAAAATGCAGGTTAAGTGCTTTTTAGGCCGAAATATCTGCTGCTATGGCACAGCCAACAGTTCGCATGGCCAAGAAAGACATGGCTACAGCCCAATATTATTATTATTTTAAGTTGTTGAAGTGACTCAAAGGCAGTGGCGAGCCGTCAGGGCCCTCTAGGGGGGAGGGGGGGGGGGGGCCGTAGGTATAAAAGTCACGGCTCGCCACTGCTCAAAGGACATCCTGTTACAGCCAACAACGCTGCCAAAAGTACTTTAATCCTTACAGTGGTATCACATGACTCTTTCATAGAGGGACAATGCAGATAAGATAAACAGCTTGAAAAACAAGGTCTCAAACCACATTTTGTCTGATTGGCTTTTCCAAATACATTACAAATTCAAGTGTGTCATTGCAAACCATTCAAACTGAGGTCTTCAGTGTTGGTGGATGTACATGGGAACACATTTTGACCATGGAGTCAAGGAGTTGCATCTAGCATCCCATTTGTTGTTAAAGTGGAATATTTACCTCAGTCGCAAATAAGTCTTTCGATTTGTAACCTCTGTCCCATGACATGGCCATATCTACTGATCATAATTCCATTGTTGAGGTCTACTAGAATAGATTTACCTTGTTCAATGTTCCAAAATCACATTGGTTTCTCATACAGCATCTCTGTCTAGTATGTGTATTCACTCTCTGTCCTAAACGGCTTGTTGGAGCTCCTGCCCCCCCTCCCCCTCCCACTGTGCTCTGATTGGTCAGCTCGCCCAATCTGTTCTGATGAGTCCACCGCCGTTACAGCGGAAGATCAGAGATTATGTGTTACAATGGTGTTTGTTAGCAACCAGAAAATGACACCAGTAATGACAAACAGATGAGAATGCTGCGTGGGGTCTGGGTGCAGTGTGAGCTGTATTACTGGAGTCGTTTCCTGGTCACGTCACTATACCCAGGAAGAAAAAAATGGAAAAAGAAAAATCTCAAACGAGGCGTTCTGAGGCAGCATAGACAGGTATTTTCTGTGTTACGGCCTCTACACACGGCGGCGTGCGTTGCCGCTTCAACGCTTCTGCCCATTCAATTTGAATGGGGTGAACTGCATTGTGGGAGCAAAGCGTAGCTTCTCTCGTGGTGCTCGCTGCAAAAGTAGAGCAATGTTCTACTTTTGACGCCTCGACGGAGGCGTCAGCCGACTCATATGCCAGTCCAAGCTCTAGCCAACATCGAATCATATGCTAGTAAAAGCTCTAGCCAATCAAACCGCGTGCTTGTGTGTCTGGGGCGGGAGATTCATGTGATTGGTTGTTGGTCGAGTTTCAGCCCCCCCCGCCGGCAAGCGAAAACGCACGCCGCCGTGTGTAGGGGCTGTTAGAGTTTTACTCGCTACAGGGTGTACTTTGAGGGTTTGTGACTCTGCAGACCGTTTACATGCAGAAAAAGCTACATAACACACAAGAGGACGGGTAATAACTGGAAATGCATGTCATGGGACCTTTAAGTCTTCCATCTTTTTTTTTATTGTAAGTTCAGAGAGTATTACATTAATAAAAGGAATTCTGGAATGACATTATAATTAAAAAAATATAGACAACTGCAGGCTATAAGAGCACAATATAACAAATTATTTTATTCCTTTCATGACCCTTTCAGTATAAGTGCATACATTTTTAGCAAATACGACCTAAATTGTACAACCTTAGTGCTTTGCTCCTATTGATGAGTTACTGTTCTCTACTCTGTTGACTGAGCATGAGGTAAACAGTCCTTCTCAGGTTTTGATTAATAGAAAACAAAACCGCAACAGAAACACTAATTTAACACCCCCAGATAACAAATTACACCATTTAACATAGAGCAGACCACTTGCTCTTGTCCACACTCTCAACTTTAATAGGAAGAGAGAGAGAGAAAAATTAATAGAAGGGTTTATTAATATATTTATTTATTGAGTCCATTGAGGGGTATGAATATTTAAATTATGATTTCTATTTTAGTGCTGAAGAGGACAGACTTGATGTGCAGGTGTTGGGGGCGTTTGTTTGGATGGAATCAACATCTTTTCAATCTGCATTCATTAGCTTCAAATAGGAAGTGGGGCTGAAAGTAACTCTCAGACCATCTCTATGGAAATTCAATAAATAATTTCCTCCATCAGCTGTGGACGTGCTGACTTCAGTACAGCAAGTGATGCACTTCAGAATGTGGTTGTGTATGTGTGCAGTGTGCACATGTAAATGTAGGTAAAATGCAGGATATACATGTTCTTCTACCATTGGTCTGTGATGATATTGATTATAATAAGGAGATTAATCGAGATAATGACATTAATCCTACGTGAAATAGCAACAATGTAATGATGTTGTTCAACAGTTTGACCATGACTTAGACAGAATGCTTGAGAGTAGTTTGTTTCAGTATGATGGCCAGATTTCCACATTAGGTTATTTAAAAAAAATGTTATTCATTTGTATTTGTATGTCTTTATTCGACAGGACCTAGAAGCAGTCTGGATACAGGTTATGTTGCATCCACTGCCACTGCAAGATATTGTTGCTAACCTGTTCTGTGATGTCATGTTTATTCACTTCGAACACAACAAAATACTTGAAATGATGATGATAATGATAAGGAAGAGGAACATTGAAATGTTGTGCACTTGTGAAGTCCATAGAAGTTGTGCTACAGACTGCAGAGTTAATAGCATGGGGCCTATTTGTGATCCCTGCTGGATACCTTTATTAACCATTTCAGGACTTCAACTAAAACCATACAGTCTATGTTTAAAACCAATGGCAACAACAAGAGTATTGATCCCACATGGGTAGAAGACAGTAGCAGAGGGAAAACATTTTTAAATTCAAGAATATGAATTCAATGTATTGTATTAGTGTTCTTACTGCTAAATTGAAATGTAGGGTTTGCGGTCCAGTCCAGGTAATGTTTACTTCCCTTTCTGTATCCATATTAAGATGCATGATAACATTACAGCCGCAGGGACAACAACAGACATCGCTGTGATTAGCTGGTCCAATTATTTTCAATAATGAGCTCCTGCATTATATGACACTGAATGGCAAATATGAGCAATCTCAAGGCAAGTTGGGACAGAGCAGCAGTGAGGTTAACAACAGCAGTTAGGCTCATCTTGACAGAGCCTGGATGGAAAATCAAAGAGACAGCAGCGTCATCATGGGACATACAGGAGCCTCAGAACATGCAGTATGATGCAAGGTGGCTAATTGAATTACACTGTGTTATTAAGAGGGAAATTGATTTATTTTGAAGCCTACAACGTTTAATGATGTTTGCTTTTAAATAAAAAGTTCTAATCAACTATACCAAGTAGCAGTAGAGAACAGCTTTTATTTTTTTGCCATTATTAGGTTTTAATGTTGATTCCAGAATATAATGGCTGTAGAATAATGAAATAATCTGTATTTAGATTGGTTCACTATCAGTCATTTTGCTAACAGGCAACTCAACAAACGAGCTTGAGTATCCCGGTAGTGGATTAACTGGATTAATATTATCTTTGAAAACTCTTCCCGGCAAAATATCCCTGTTGGCGAAGTAGGAAAAGGAGAGGAGAAGGGAGAGCGGAAATAAATGTGTCTTGTTTTACCAAGATAGTTCAGTCATTCCTAAAAAATCTGCAAATGATAGCATGTAAGAATAGTGTTCTATATATTTGGCATTGTTAAGCTTGTTTCGTGCTGTGGGCAGTAGCTGGGACATATATATGGTTTTAGCTTAATACAGTGATGTTAAGTCACTATGTTTAACCCTAGCTCTCTTAGGAGTATGCCTTATTGACAATAGAATGAGTCTCAATTAGATTACAACTCCAGAGACATAATGGGTCTCTCCAAACAACAGGAAAGATAAATGGCAAGTGTGTGTCAGAGAAGGTATGTGTGTGCGCGTCTACATTTACCTCACCACAGCCTCTTTGACATCAACAACAATTATCTCAGACTGAATCCCCAGGTGCATTATGTTGCCTAAAGGATTCATCATAATGGAAAGACTTGCTTGTTGTCAGCCAGCAGATGCTCTTAACAAGTCAATATCCCTTACTGTTTCATTTCAGAAACACTCTGCCCAGTAAAGTGGTTAAGGGACTAATCATTAGCTTCTTATCAAACTGACAGACATGGATGAAGATACTGCAGACAGGCCTTAGTCTACAGGTAAGATGGAAGTTCATCTTGTGAGACCAACTGTGAAACATTCACAACAGCACAAATGTAGTAATTTGGGTGGTAGCATTATTCTCCCATCAAAGTCAAACAGCCTTGAAAACAGACTCATTCAACAACCTGAAGAAAATAGATGAAATACAATCAACAGTTTACAAGATAGTGCTTCAGCTACTTGGATGCGATGCAAAGCGTGCCTTCATAATATTTTTGTGAATTATTATTACAGATAAGGTGTTTTGTTTGACTATTTTTTAAATATTTGTTGAGTAAAAGGAAAAAGTTTGACATTTTAAAATGATCTGATTGTCAACAAATCACATAAAAAAAATGTTTATCTATATTTTGCTTTAAGTGAAAAAAAACATTCAAACCATGTAATCCCCACATGCACTCTCTGGCTGTGTATTAATTCATAGCTGAAAATCCCCAACAAATACACTATTAAACCGTTTTACTTAAAGTTTGCTAAAAAG